GCTGCTGTATTCGCCATTTATTGATATTATATTATTAACCGTTATATGGTCGTTATGGCCGTTTATTGTACGACACCATTCGTTCGGTCATTGCTCGTAGTTGGCGCTGCATGCAGCCAACAAGTTATCAAGCCAACAAGAATGGCGGCAACTGATGATGATGATGATGATGATGACGATGATGATCATGATCATGATGATGATGCGTCTATATGCCGCCGCCAACGTTGCCGCCGCCGCTAGCCAACTGGCCAGCAGCGGCGGCGCCCGGCTGGGTGCAGCTGGGTGCGGAGGAATTGCACCCAGCAGTGCACCTGAAGGAAAAGGGACAAGGCGGGGGAAGGGCGCGGGAGGCCAAAATACGGTTAGCAGTACGACACAACTAACACACACACAATTAGGTGACAGATGCAAGCAAGGGTGCCGCTGCTGGTCCCCACCATGCACAACCCATGCACCAAAACCCCAAGCCCATCCGCACCCACCTCAGCCGGGCCCATCATCAGCAACGCCCACTCGGTGCCACTGGGGCGCACAGGTTGATGCCCCAGCCGCACCTGAAGAGGAGGTGCGTGATAAAGGGGGAAACGGCCAGAGGGGATAGGTAAGGGGGCAGCATACACGGGGGGGAGGGGGTAAAACACCAAATGTCATTATTTTGCCCAAAAGTCACAAGGCCTCGTTGCGACACGTGCGCTGCGGCCCTGCGGCCTTTTTCCGCGACCACTAGTTGAACCCAAGTCACGAAGTACGCACCACACCCACACCCACGTCGCCCACCCACCCATCCACCCACCTGAGACGGGCGTTATAAAAGTACGGCCGGCCCCTGCGTGCGGGTGCCGGCAGGCCGGACGACTCGTACGCCCCGAGTCCCGGCAGCCAGTCGACCCTGCATTCGGGTCCTGGCACCAGGGAAGCTGCCGCAAACCCTGGCGATAAAGGGCCCGGGCCATGGCCACTGCTGCAGCTGCTTGCTGATCTGCCGGCTGCTGCTGCTGCTGCTGCTGCTGACTACATAATG